CGGGCAGTCGCGGATCGATGGTCACCATCCCCCACCCCCCCGCCGCTGACACCGTGGCCAACATCTGTGGGCAGTCCCTGCTTACCACCGATGCTGCCACCTGACAAATGGTGCTTTCCCCCTCCCCCCATCTCAGGAGCCACCAGTCATTCATGGGCAAATCCTTCAGCCTCATTCTCCATCTGTACTTGTGAATACTTTTCCTTAGTGTTACAGGTATCTTTACAATACAGGAACTTTTTTTTCTTTGTTAGCTTTTAATAAATACATGTTCCTTTACCTCCTTGCTAATGCATCCGTACCATCCTGTAAAGAGTTCTGTAGCCAAAGTAAACTTACCTTTTGTGGATATCAAAGCATAATTCTTTTTAAATACTATTAACTAAATCAGAATTAGACACTTCTTAAAGGTTTTGAGTAAATCTCAGTTTAATTTGTTCTTGAAATTTAAATAGCCAAGATATTTTTAAATACTACCTAAAAATAGTCACCTCTGTGAATAGAGAGCAGCATGTTTCTTTACATCTGTTGAGATGTGTTTAATTTTAAATACACAGAGGGTTCACAACCATCTGGTTACCTGCCAGACTTAAATTCATCAATGTCCTGAGGCCTTCACTATACTTAGAGGGCCATCAAGATCCAAGATCGAATAGTAAATCTATAGAAAGAGGACCTTTCCTTCCCATCTGTCTTCTCTAATTAATTTATTTTAACAAGGGAAATTGCTCTCCCACCAATTCCCCTTCAATTCGAGCTTTTGATCAAAACAGGAAGACTATAATCGGCCCCAGCGGGGCAGTCAGAAATGCAGTGAATATGTGGACCCAGCTACTTACAATGCTCACAAATCTCTTATAACCTGGTTCAAATAAAAATGTTCACATACATACCTAGCACCTGCAAAAAAAAAAAAAAATTATTGTGGTAGTTCCTTCAACATTTAACGTGTTTGAAAAATAGCTGTACATTGCTCATAACTTAAGGGTCAAAATATATATTTAAACAAACGTAATTTGCACGAACAGTAAATTCAGAGAAATCCAAAGTGGTTTGTTTTTAACAGCTGGTATAAACCAGTGGATAGAGTGGGCTAAACTGGAGAGCAGAATCCAGACTGGGGTGGCAAAATGGTGGATTTGGCTGGCAGCCAGACTCCGTTTTCCAGCAGCCCCTGTCTGTGCTGCTCCAGACTAGTCTAAATGGAGACCCCCACCCCCAGAGCAAGGGAGCAGTGACAGTGCAGGGGTGCAGAACCCAGCCCCGTGCTGTCATGACCCTGCTGCTCCTGGGGTCTCTACGGACACCAGCTGGGAGTGGCGCAGGCGGGGCACATGGCTGGACAGGGAGCTGCTCTGGGGCCAGGGCCAGGTCCAGGTCTGGGATCCTGTGGAGATGAATGTGCAGGGATGGAGCCAGGGCAAAGCTGTGATCCACTCCCTGCATGCCCGTCTATAAAACCAGTGCTCGTCGCAGGGGCATGTGGGGAGTGGATAGTGGCTCCAGCTTTCCTCTGGCTCCAGCCCCCTACAATATTCCAGTCTCCCTGGCCCACCTCCCCTTCTTGCTCCTGGCCGTAGCCCCCATCCCAGCCTCCCGGACATGTGCCCTGTCCATGTGGGTCCAGTCCCTGCTGGTGAGTTTGGCATGGATTGGCCAGGGTGCCTGGGCAGCCAGGTTGGATATGGTGGTGGCAGCTAGAAGGAGGTGCTGCCACAGGGGCTGCTGGGAAATGGAGTCCACCATAGGCCCAATTTGGCCCATGGGCCAAACTTTGCCCAACCCTGATCCAGACAGACCCAGCCTGTACTTGGTGCATGGGATTGTTCCATCCTAAATACAGGACTTCGCACTTGTCCTTGTTGAACCTTATGAGATTAATTTTGGCTCAATCGTCCAATTTCTCTATGTCGCTCTGAATCTTAGCCCTACTCTCTGGCATATCTACTACTCCCCCCAGCTTGGTGTAATCTGCAGACTTGGTAAGGGTGCACTCCATCTTATCTTCCAGCTTGTTGATGAAGACATTGAACAAAACCATCCCCAAGACCGAACTCTGGGGCACTCCTCTTGATACTGGCTGCAAGCCATTGATGACTTCCCTCTGAGCCCAATGCTTCAACCATTTTTTGTTTTTATCCATGTTACACAGTCCATTCACCCAGCCTGTACTTCCTTAGCTTGCCCGTGAGAATGTTGTGGGACTCTGTATCAAAAGCCTTGCTAAAATCAAGATATACCACATCCACTGGTCTCCCCACATCCACAGAGGCAGTCATAGAAGGCAGTCAGGTTGGTCAGGCATGACTTGCCGTTGGTGAATCCATGCTGACTGTTCCTAATTACCTTTTTCTCTTCCAAGTGCTTCACGATGGATTCCTTGAGGATCTACTCCATGACTTTCCTAGGGACTGAAGTGAGGCTGACTGGTCTGTAGTTCCCTGAATCCTCTTTTTCCCTTTCTTAAATATGGGCACTGCTTGCGCTTTTCCAGTCATCTGGGACCTCTCCTGATCACCATGAAGGTTGCAAAGATGATGGCCAGTGGCTCTGCAGTCATATCAGCCAACTCCCTCAGCACCCTTAAGTGCATCCCATTCAGTCCCATGGACTTGTACAGGTCTAGCTTTTCTAAATAGTCCCTAACCTGTTCTTTTGAACTGTCACCTCTTCCTCAAACTGGAGAAGGAGGTGAGTGTTGTATGTTTACCTCCTTCTCAAACTGTGCTGCCAGGTGCAGTAATCTGGAAGCTGACCTTGCCTGTGAAGACTGAGGCAGAAAAGGCATTGAGCACTTCAGCCTTTTCTGCATCTTCTCTCGCTAGGTTGCCTCCCCATTCAGTAAGAGACCCACACTTTCCCTGGTTCTCTTCTTGCTACCGACATACCCTTCTTGTTACCCTTCATGTTGCTTGCTAGCTGCAATTCCAGTTGCGCTTTGGCCTTCCTGACTTCATCCCTACATGCCTGATCAATATTATTATACTCCTCCCTAGTTACTTGTTCAAGTTTCCACTTCTAATAAGCTTCCTTTTTGTGATTTAGTTTACTGAAGACTTTCCTGTTAAGCCAAGGTGGTGTTCTGCCATACTTGTCTTCCTGCTCATCAGGATGGCTTGTTTCTTGTACTCTTGAGTGCCCTGAGTGAGTCAAAGTCTGCTTTTCTGAAGTCCAGGATCTTTACTCTGCTGCTCTCCATCTTTCCTTTCCTCAGGATCCTGAACTCTCTCATCTCGTGATTACTGCTGCCCAAGTTGCCATCCACTACTACATTCCACATGAATTCTTCCTTGTTTGTGAGCTGCAGGTCAAGAAGAGCATGGCCCCTAGTTGGTCGCTCCAGCAGTTGCACCAGGAATTTTGTCCCCAGCACTCTCTAAAAACTTTCTGGATTGTCTGCACATCGCTGTATTGCTCTCCCAGTGTATATATACAGTGCGCGTGCGCACACACACCCACCCACCCCCATTTCCCTTTGTAACATCCAAGTTACTTGGATAGTGATTAATGTCTTAGTATGAAACTGGCAGATAGAAACACAGGAACCAAACTGAGTTTGAGCCTGCATTATTTGAAGACTAGAACTAGTGAATTTCTCCTAACCCTTTTAGCAAGCATTGACATTTGAAAGAATTCATTCTGTAAATTATAAGGAAATACAGCCACTTCTTCTGCTGTGCAGGAATTAATCCTTTCTATATATACTATTTTGGCATCCTGAGTTGACTGAACTACCTTTTTGTCCAAGATAGCTTATTTCAGAAAATATTTTCTCCTGTTGGATACCAGTTTTTATTTCCTGTCTGTATAGTTAGAATTACCTTTGCAAATGGCCATTTCTCACAAACTCAGATTGGGGGACAGCTGTAATATTCACTATCATTAATGTGCATCCCTGGTCTTAACTCTTCATTCATAGGTAGTTAGTTGAAGATAACTCCTGGGTCTAGGAACTCACTTTTTTCCCTTCTTTTTCCTTCATCCTCAAGGTTGTACCCTGTTGTTTTATGAGACATATGGGAAGAATTCCATGGAGCAGAGCAGTGCACCTAGATATGCCCTATTTGTGGAGGACAGCATAGTGCAGTCTGTCCCTGAACACCCCAAGAAGGAAAATGTGTTCTGCCTCAGCAATTCTTTTGGAGATGTATATCTATTTCAGGTAACCATCATCAGCATTTTATATGATATATGTATATGTGTGGGAGGGGTGGGGGGTGAGAGAGAGAGAATGAGTGTGTAGTCTTAATAGGTTACATATTTGCCTTTTTTGTATACAAGCCAAACTGTAAAGTTGGTGTCTTCGTTCTTATTCAGTCTTTCCTTAAGCAGAACTTGATGTGACTGGGATTTATTTGCTTCAGGAAGTAAAAAACCATGGGCCATATAATCAAAATGTGGGTTATAGTAATAGTAATAACAACTATAATTATAATGTAGTTGTGAGCTGACAAACTTTTTGTTTCTGCTTTTTTGCTGGTATAAAGCTATTAAAATCTTAATGGTGAGGAGACAGTTAAAGTGGTAGTAGAGGTGGGAACAGGGAGGTAACACAAGGTGGGGGAAAAGATTATCAGTTAGTTGAGAAGCAGAAATTATGAGAATTAGAAGGCAGGAAGCAGGGTAGATTTTATGCCTTATAGACTGACTAAATCAGAGATGCACAGCATAAGCTTTCATAAGCAGTGGGCTTACTTCATCAGATGCTATCAGAATTAGAAGGTTAGGTCAAATAATAACACGAGCATAAAGAAAAGAAGGCACGAGTACAAAAATGGCCAGGTGAAAGACAAAAGAAGATGAGAAGTCTCTCTGTCTGGGCCTGACATGAAAGAGAGTCTCAGGCACGAAGTCAGAACATTTTACTCCAGTTCTCTTACTGTTGTCATGATTTCAGCACTCTTCCAAGTCTGCCATTAGCCTATTTATGTTCAGGATACTGTACCAATTAACTCAGGCAGTCACAGCTACAGAAATAATAAAGGAGCTGGAATGGATGGGATTTGAAAAACCAGGTGGTCACCAGTTCTTTAAGCCATTACAGTTCCAGGTTTGTAAGTCATTAAAAGCCTATAGGGAGTTGCCAGGATTCTTAGTCTGTGCACACCTACTGGGATTCCATAGCTCTATGCTGGTGGGCCCAACCATGAATCCATTGACCTCAAAAGGGGGAGGTGGGATTGTGTGAGAGCAAGATATTGAGGTTTGGACCCCATAAATATAGTTAAAATATTTGCAAGCTTATTTTCTTTGTAGTTTTATTGGAAAAGTGAATAAACTTTGGTTCTTACTGGAACCATTTGCTTAAAAATGCATTGATGCACAGCTGCGGTTTTAAAATGATGTTGGCAGATACTTTATGCAAATGTGTCCTCCCAAGGCACTCTATGCTCCATCCATTTAATTTATGCTTATTTAAATATGTAACCTCATATCCTCAGACCTCACTTTTCTGACAGTATCCCTGAGGCCAGTTAAGTCCGGAGTTGTCTTAGCTTGTGAATTTTAATACTTGGCGTGGGGACGGAGAGGAGAGGGGTTCAGTAGTACAGGTCTCCGCACCTCCACAGCTCTCTTGGGCTCTATTTGTTAATTCCTTGCAACTCCAATACCCCGCAGGGCTCAGAAGCATAAGTGTGGAGGCAAGAGCCAGGATGCAGTAGAGAAAAGGCTAACAGCAGCCTGCTCAAGTTATGTTTGTGCAGTTCTAAATGGAAACTCTTGGACATCAAATACCTGTCAAGCACTTTCATATCATCCAAGCCCTGTTTCAATTTGTCTGTTTATTTTTTTTAAATAATGTTTCATGCTTGATTTGTATTGTAGGCAACAAGCCAGACTGATCTGGAAAACTGGGTTACAGCAATACACTCAGCTTGTGCTTCCCTCTTTGCAAAAAAGCTTGGGAAAGAGGACACTGTCAGGTTGCTGAAAAATCAGACAAAGAGCCTCATCCAGAAGATTGACATGGATGGCAAGATGAAAAAGATGGCAGAGTTACAGCTCTCAATTGTCAGTGATCCAAAGAACAGGAAAGCCATAGAGAATCAGGTACTACCGATTTCTACTGGTTTGTTTGGTTACATGCAGCAATTTATCATTACAGAAATTCTCCTGCTCTAGGCTCAGATTTTAATGCTTTCTAGACTTATTCTTAAGTGTTCCCTTGGATTTAAACGTCAAAACTTGGAAATTGCAAGCAGCCGTAAAATGCCATAAAAAGACTTAGCCAGTGGTTTAAAAAGTAACAGCTCTAGGCAGTTTTGCCTAAGCACCATTAGTAGTTAAATTTCTACATGTGGATATGCAACATATTGGAAAAGTAAGACTAGATCTATTTTATCCTTTGTGGATAACTTATTAGCAGGGTATTCCTGTCTTATTCTGTTGCTCAGAATTCATTATGCTCATATAAAAACTTACTTTTGAACATTAACAAACAAACAAAAAACCCCAAGACAGTTACAATATCTGAATTTTTAATGCAGGCCAAATCTAGCAGTCTCATTATTTAGCCACAGATAAGTGGTAAAAGTTAAGAACCTGAAGCCAATGTTCAGTACCTCTTGGGAAATGAGGAAGAAGTGCAGAATTTATTCCTGACTACACTAGAAATAAAAATGAAATGTTGTGTAACAGTATCACTGTCTGTGCATATATTTGCTCTGGCAAAAGTTTCTCTGTTACCTTTCCTCTTTATTTGTAAAAACACGTGGAAGCAGGTACAGACTGGGGATAAATTGCTTATTTAATGGTTTTGCCCCATTGTGCAGAAGTGTGTACTGTCTTGCTATTATAACTTGCAGTGTGAAGAAAGGTACTGGCTAATCATAACTTTTGACAAGTTTTCTTTGTAATCCAAAACAGTATAGATAGTGAAAAGAGCACGTAATCCAATTAACAGATTTTGATAGTGTAAAGTCTATTTCTTTTTTCTGTTAGGAATTTTTTTGATTAATCATGTTCCTGATATATAGGCCATTTTGCTAACCACATTATAACTATTGGATAGCGCTTTACACTAGCAGTAACTTCATTTAGGAGAAGCCTTAACAACATATGCCAGTACCAAATAGTCTTCATTTCCTTCCCATAGGATGCTATTTTAGCTAAGCTCCAGCTCCTTTCTGCCCATCCAACACAATGGCCAGCCCCTGCGGGGGGGGGAGGGGAGCAGCCAGAGCTCTGTGCACTGGGCAGAAGCCGCTGGGTTAAAGCTTCCACCTGCCCATCCAGAGCTGCACGGTGGCACCTGGAGGTGAGGGAGGCAGAAGAGCCCTGCTGCCCTGGCCACCACGCAGTCTGTGGTGTTGCTGCAGCCAGTGGGTGCTGCACAGGATGGGTGTGGTGGGGGCTGCAAGCCCCTGTGGCAGGTGGCTTCCAGGCTCCAGACCCGCCAGCGCCTCCGAGCTGGCCTGGGGAGACCACTGCTTGGCCAGCCACTGCCTGTGCCCTACAGCCCTAGCCAAGGGCCCAGCCCTCGTAGGGTCCCTGCAGGCCGGGGCCACAGTTTAAACCTCTCCGCAATTAAAGTTAATGGCAAGCCAGGGCCTGGCCACACCTCCAAGTCAGCTTCCCTCCAGCCTTGCGGCTGCTGAGGAAGGGAAGGGAGGGCTCACTCTAGCGCCCCCCCTGCTTCTAGCCTGAGTCATGCAGGCATGTGGTGCATTTCCAGTATTAAAGGTGAATGTTTGTTCACTTGCAAATCAGTTCAATCTACACAGGTTAGACTAACCTGCAAAGATTGAATCAATTCAGGCTCCGGTTTTTGAATGTCTGTATGTAGCCCAGTACACAGAAGATGTTTGGTTTAGAATTTAGCCACGAATCGAGACCTCCTAGTTTTGCTAAAAGTGATCATTAATGATAACAGAGGGTCAGGACCTTTATTTATATCTTCCTTATTTGGTTACAGTATGACATCCTAAACTTAATCCTAAGAGCTACGAGAACCTCAAAACATCAAAGGTCACACCCTGACCTCCCAGCAGCCTGCCTTGACCACATTTTCATGAGTTGGTTGTAAAATTGCCTGAGCTCTGTCTATACTAGTAGCTTTAAGCTGGTGCAACTGCATTGAAGAATGTTGCTGTGAAATGGTGGGGGGTGGGTGGATATGTGCATTTGCGCGCACACACATTCTTAGAGCCCTTTCAAAGGGGGATTGTTTCAAAAGGGCAGCTGCTAGTACATTCTCATTGTTGTGTGAACACTTTGAAAAGAATTCAAATGCAGTAAACCCGCTCCAACTTTATCCTGGGTGAAGAAATGTTAAAATTGGAGTGCATTTACTGCATTTGAATCCTTCTCACTTGTTCAGACATAACAATTAAAATGTACCAGCAGTTGTCCTTTTGAGATGTTCACCTTTTGAAAGGTCTTCAAGCATTCTGTGTCCATCACGCTCCGCATCTACCCTTGTACTTCCTCTTTCCAAGCCACGGTTAGGCAAATGTGCAGGGCAGAAACTTGTACTGCCAATTCCCATGCTATAAGTATTTTCTCAGTTAAATTATGTAGTCAGTGTAGTGTTTCCACAATTAAAGTTGCAAAGACATTACTGGGACAGTAATACAAATCCATGTTCAACATAGCAAATTGCTTCCTGTATTTGAGCCTTTTCTCCCTGCCAGGATTTCTTAAGTACCCACTAATTCATTTTTTTGGGCTGCTAATGTGACTTCAAGAGTAAGAGCCAAAGTTTACTTGCTCCTGGCCAGCAAACATAATTGTTTCTTTGACATATGTAGTTATAACATCTCTTTGTGAACGCGATGCTTGTAACATTAATAGATCTTATTATACTTGTTTGAAACAATAGAGAGCAAACACTTGTGCTAGGTTGCCCATGAAGTGCCAGCAGCACAATTCAGTCTTGAGCTGTTACTGTCTTTGTGTTGTACTCTTGAGCAGAGATTACAGTGTGCTGTGATTTTTCTGCTGAGGTATTCATTAAATGGTAGGTAGGTAGAGACCTGCCATTTCACTTATCCTGATGCCAAAACCCACTGAATTGAGTAGGGAAGGGAGGAGTGGAGAAGCAGGAAGCTACAACCTACCTTGGATTTCAGTGGCTTTTGGGACTCCTGAGATCTACTGATTCCCAGAGGGGAAAAGTCTAGCTTTATATCCCATAATACCCTGATAAAGTCAACACAGATGCATAGTTCTTTAATTAGTTTACCCATCCATTTAAACAAGCTTTAAATGGAACAGGCTTTAACAGTTTACTGTGACTCATTTATATAGTAGTCAAGAAAGCCTTTTGATTTCTCCTAATTAGATTGTTCGAGGATTGAATAACCATCATTTTTTTCCATTTTGGGTCACTGGAAAAACGGGCTTTATTCTACTGGAATTAAAATCCACCAGTGCTTTATCCCTGTTAATCTTCTTTCTAAGAATTTCTCAAAACACTGAAGGAGGTCAAGTGAAGAGAGGCAATAAGCAAGATGGTTCATTTACAAACAGCGCACAGTTTGCACACAGTGAAATTATAATGAGCCTTTCCTCTGGATTTGTTCTCTACAAGATATCTTAGTGCAACTGCCTAAATGTTTTTTGGCAGTGTCAGTTGGGAGGAGAGGCAATTCAATAGATAACTAGGCTGTCTAATCTTTTAATTCAGCAGTCCCAGCAATGGGTCTTTAAAAAATGCAATGTATCATTAACAAATGTACAGTTTTGGCAGAACGTTATTTCTCCAGCTATTACACAGTGTACTGCTGTTTGCTTTTGTGCAGTTTGATGAATAATAGGGCATCAAATATTGGGATGACTTAGTTTTTTTGTTTAAATTTGAAGCATTGAGATTTGGTCTCAGGAATTGAATCAACAAAAGTAGGAATCATGTGAATAAATCCCTCTGCCTCCCAAAGAAAATGTTCCCATGGGCCATATAAACAGCTTATCTAGACAGTACTTTAGTTTATGAATATGCTTCTTAATTTCTTCTTTAAACTTCTTGGGTGAAACTGTAACTTTTGAAATCCATGGGAATTTCACCCTATATGATTAGATTTAGTTCCCAGTCCTGCGCTTCATGATGATTCCTGAGATTTTCTAATCTACGAGGAAACTTCAAGTACTATAGAAACCTACAGTATCCCCCCAACTCTCCCAACCTCCCAAAAAAGCATGTGTGTGTGTTTTTATCTGTTGTGTTCCAAAGCAAGGTACTGAAGCCATCTGCTTTGCTTGAGAGCTTAATCCCGTAGGGTTCTGCAGGCAGTGAAAGATGCACGATTCCCTACAGGATGTGGTGTTTGTGTATCATCCACTGCTCTTGGAAGGCAGCTGCATTTAGGGAAGCTGCACATACGCATTACTAATATTGATTCATACTGAAGTGTTTGGGCACGTAGGAGTCAGCTTTTCATTTTAGTTGAGTTCCATTGCTACTTTGCATTAAAATGATTGCCAAACAACTTTTTTGTGTTTTATAAAAGATGGGATTTGGCAAAGAATTCTTAAGTCAGATAGAGTTGTTATATACAAATTCCACTTAGTGTTGTGACCAATAATACGGTATCTGATCCATTTCTCTTGCAAAGGGGGACTTGACAAGGTTGTCCCTTTCCCCTCTTGTATTTGATTTGACATTGGAGCCAATGGCTGTAGCTGTAAGGAGTAAGGATGATATAAAAGGCATTAGGCTAAGAGAGAGTCCAAGACCCCGTTCTGTGTAGACAATACACTAATATTTCTGTCACTGCCTGAGAGATCAGTTTTATTAATTGAACTAAATTTGAGTTACTTATATTGAACTATTATATTGCAAAGGATATGTTTAGAAAATGGCAGCTTCAATGGCAATCAGGACACACAATTTATTTGGGTATTAAGATATTTAAGAATATTATATTATTGCCCCAAAGCTTTCAGAAGATCCTTGATATTATTTTAGAGGATCTTAAGCAGGGCAGTTTAGCAATATCTTTGGGGAGGGAATGTGTTAATATTTTGAAAATAAATGTATTACCTTGCCTAATTTGTCTGCTACATAACCTGCCAGTTGTAATCCCCAACTAAATGTTTAGCAGGTTTTTGTG